CTGGCCTTACTACTAGGAGCAAGGACGCTACTAGGGGCTCCTGGCCTCAAGGACGCTACTAGGGGCTGCTGGCCTTACTACTTGGAGCAAGGACGCTACTAGGGGCTCCTGGCCTTACTACTAGGAGCAAGGACCGCTACTAGGGGCTCCTGGCCTTGCTACTACGAGGAGCAAAGACGCCACTTTGGCAGTTTCCACAGTTCTGTTCGTGCCTCAAGGCCCCATGGCGATCTGGGCAAAGAATCGGTTGAGGCCGTCCAGGCCGTGGCAGCTGTAGGAAGACCCACGAAATTGAGCCGATGGGCCATGTCGCTCATGCGTTATGTAGTCGAACATTAGTTTTCTTGTTTTTTTTTAGATTCTACTGTAGTATATGATTTTATATTTGGTTCTGAATGATAGTGTTGATGTTGCAAGCTTGAGGCCTTTTGAACATGTACGTTTTCATTTTCGAAGAAACATGTTTCAAGAAGACAATTCTAAAGGACTGTGTCTGGAATCTCTAACCACAGTGTTTCCAAAAGGTCTTAGGGTTTTTCAATTTCCGAAACCACTTGCAAGCAAGGATGCTTCTGAAAGGCCTCAATGTGGTACAAATTCCAAGCACACAGTGTCGTGCAAATCGCAACCACGCCCTGTCCTAGGTTGCAAACTTGCCGTCACTTTGTGCGACTAAACTAAACTGAAAGCAAAACACCTGAATGCCAGAAGCTGTTGATTGCTGGCCCCGGCACAAAGATCGTGGTGAAGTTTCGTCCTTTGTAAATGAGGGAAAGCTGAAAGAAGCTTTGCTTCATGAATTCGATTTCGGCCAATGCAGTCTAATGTTAACAGATCATCAAAATGGAAATACTAGTGGACTCAAAGCATTCAGAATTCTTGTAGCAAGGTCACGTACGTGCGGGTCACAGGAATGTTTGCGCCGCAGCAGCCTCATGCTCCAGCAACAACTAAGCAAGACACTAGTTCAAAAGTGACAATTGCCGCACTTAGTCGCAACCTGCTTACATCCATACGCACTGTTGACAAATTACTCTGACCGCTTGGATGTTGAACAAGAGTGGACCTTCATTGGGACATGGTCCATATTGAATCTGGACCGACGTTGCGTGCAGTACTGAGTGAGGCTCGACCCACCTGGAGCGAAAAGGATTTGGCAGCTGTGGAGGAGAAGCTCTCGCGGGTTGGTGTGACAACTGCAGAAAAGCTGGCAGAGCTGCTCTCTAATGGGCTCAACAAGCGTCTACTTGCTGCGGGGCAAAAGGCCTTCAACAGTGAGACTTTGGCAGCTTTAAGGCAGCGCCTTTCTCGAGAGAGCCCAACACAGGACAAAGATGACTGTGAACAGCAGGCACGACAAGCCCATGCAAGTGAAGGATGTCAGTCAACATTCTCCAGTGGCAGAGAAGGAAATGATTGCAAGCAGGACCTGGGCTCCAACAATTCCAGGCAGAAGAAGCCAGTTGAACCAAAGCCCAGCGAAGCCAGCTTTGTGCAGACCACTTTCTCACCATCAGCGCCATTTGGAAGACAGGAAGCTCTCGGTGAAACCCCGCTTATCAAAGCAGTGAGGCAGACTGATGTGCGCACTGTGCAATACTTGCTAGAGCATCGGTCCAATCCGAACGAAAAGGACGCTTTTTGCAATGCACTGCCTTTGCCAAATATTGAAGAACATTTGATGTGTTGAGAATTTGCAAGTTGAAAGTAGAGAAACAAGGAGAAACATTGTGTGAAGATTTTGAAGGGAACTATTCTTTGAAGGACAACTTCGGTGAAACGGCTTTGATGGAAGCAGCTGCCGTTGGTCATCCACAGCTTTGCAAAATCTTGCTGGAAAATTGTGCCAACGTAGCGTACAAGTCTCCCACAGGGCTTTCTGCTAAAGACTTTGCATCAGAGCATGAAGTCCTTTCGAATCTTGAGTTTGAAGTAATCAGTTCATTTTCAATGTCACATCTAGAGATTTAGTCATGTCTCACTTTGTTGACATTTTGCGCTTGAAAACTAAAGAAGATTGTGATGAGCTCAGGCATCTTTTTGCAGTGCCTGGAAATTACTGGCTCGACAGAGGTCTCAGGCTGGCTGCTCGCCAGCACAACTTAGGCAAGGCGGATCTATTGCTGAAAAGAGTCAAGGAGGAGAAACAGCCGATCGATGTGAACAAGGCAGATGGAAATGGCTTTACGCCACTGCATGTTTGCACGGCGAGATCTCCTGACTCCTCCGATGGGCTTGGCTTTGCAAAGCTATTGCTCGAAGAGTTTCTTGGACAGAAGATGCATACCACATCATACCACCACCTCAATTCATTCAGGAAGCATTCAAGCACTCTATACCAGGTTCAGTTGAAACAGTCCCGATTGTCTGAAGGAAAGCGATTGTCAATGCCACAAATCTCCTGGGAGAGACCCCGCTGATTCTTGCCACGCGTGCATCTGCTGATACGAAGAACAAGTCCTGCCGCCTTAGTATCCTGGATTGGATGCAGCAGTTTTTGAATACTTACGTGGGATGCAGAAATCAAAAGCTGGCATAGCCTTAAAGAATCAGAGTGTCAGTCTTGGGTTTGCAATTGAGGCATTGTGAAGCTACTTTTGGAAAGCCGCGCAGCAGTAAATACGTCCGATTCAGTTCTGCATGAGACACCTCTCATGGAGGCGGCAGGCATAGGAGAACCGATGCCTTGTCTGGTGACCAGTGGAAGAGAAGCACGTGGCCAAAAAGCATTTCTTTTTGATAAATGTATCTCGCTTTGTGAGGAGATTCTGAACTTGTGCTCACACTGCTCCGGGCTGGTGCAGATCATTTGCGCAGCAGCGCCAGTGGTCAAACAGCCCTGGACTTCGCCCGGGCAGAAGAGGCCGGGTCGGGAGATGCGCAGGCCTTGTCCCACATACTTTGCCATTCAGGTGCAGTGGATGCTCAAGAACCCAATGCAAGCCACCTCAGGATCACCTTGGCCAAGTGCTCCCAGATCCTTTCTTTGCAGACCATATATATATATATATAATGGCCTTGTTAAGAAATTATAGGTTTAGGTGGAGGGGTGGAGGCCATCGCACTTAGGTTGGAGGCCATTGCGTCGATATTATGATCGAACATAATGAAACCGCTGCACTTTTGCCTTGGTGCCGAGGACCTCAACCGAATGCACCTGTGCCTCCTCCAGTGGCACAGCCCAAGACTCCGCTCTTCACCAAGACGCAACCTCTCTCTGGATATTTTACAGGGGGTACCAAAGCCGGACCATCGAAAGGCAGGTTTTTTTTTTGTTTTTTTCGCTAGTGATAGTGAATCTTTTGACATTGAAGTTGAATCCTTATATATATATATATCTTTTTGCACTCGTGACACAGGGGTGAACTGCTTGCCTCTGGCTGTAAATCGCAGCATTGATCCCAGGCCTCCCAGATGCAAGGTTGCCAAGCCTCACAGAGGAGACTGCAAAGCCTTCACAGAATGGCCTCTCGGCCTGTCACATTTATCGCACAGGGACAATCTCACAAGCTGTCAACCGAAGTGCCAGCAACCCAGATGCAAACCAGCACGCTCATTGCGACACATTGCCCTCAACCAGCTGATCCCATGTGCCCGCTGAGAAGCTGCACATTCACACTCTGCTGCACACTGCTGTCAACCCTGTCAACCTACCATTTCACATTTTGCAGCGAAAAAGTCAACTGCGATGTTGCGTATCGCTGCAATAGGAAACTCGCTTGGCAACAACCTTAGGAAAGCCATGTCCTTCAAGGGACAATGCTGCTGACAACAGTGACGCAACTACGCTGACTTCCAAACCAAGTGGGAACAGATCACGCTGTGTCAGTGCCTGTGCAGGACGCATGCAGGCTGAAATTCTTCGGTGACTGACTGACCGTACTTACTTATCACTTACAACGTACAGAAGAGCTGTGGTCACAGTGGTCATGTCCTTGACAACGCACCACTGGGTGGTGACAACCCCAAAGCGTGGAAGCCTTATCGTTTGCAGGCAGTTGCTGACTCTTCATCCCGGAATTCAATTTCCCACTCAGAAATGCAATGCAATGTGCCCTCAGCATTTTGTACTGTATCCTTTGCAGAGCTGCTTCCGAGCTCATCCACAGCTCTCCATGTCAGAATGTTCAACAGATTTTGACAGAGCCCTGTCACTTAGCTTGCGTGTCCCCATAAGCTAGGCAATCCCCAGTACGTCATGTGTAGTATGGACAGCTGCACGGCGCGGGCCCAAAACACGGCGCCGTGTTGACAGCCTCCATGCATTCCAGCCCTTTGTGACCGTGAGTCTTGTTGGCTTTGCCGCTTGCTTTTTCCTCTTTGATGAAAAGGGAACAAGACAGACAGCTACAGTCACCGGGAAGTCAACTCTCCAGATTTTTGGAAGGCGGTGCAATGCCAAAGCTTCCGCAGACTTATGCAGAAAGGTTACAGCTCCTTGGCTGTCCTCCCGCAAAGCTCCTGCGCCCGTTAACAGCATATTGCTGATTGTTGCATGTCTTTTCCCAAGAGCAACTTGGAACAAAGCCCAGGAGGCTACTTGCCAAATATCCGGGCTTTGTAGGCTGGGCTGCAAAGACGCAAGAGACTTGCAATGTTGAAAACTACAGTGCACTGCAGCGTGGTCCTGTGAGGTTCTGGGGTGGACATGCCCAGCCATGCATGGCAGTGGACAAATGAAGAGCTGGAACTATTCATTGGCAGCCCGCTGTTGATGAGCATGAACAGCGAAACACATAGGTGGCACACGCATTTCATCCAAGGTAGCATGGGCCAGTTCTGGCCGCCGAATCGAGCTAAACCCAGTCTTCGACTTAGCCAATGCATGCTTGGCTCGTTGCCGAAAGTCGATGTTTGCTGTGTCAAGGCATGAAGCCACCACCAAATGCAGGCGTGCGTAAATTGAGTCATAGAGCCTGAGCCAACCATAGAACATCAAGCAATGTCAACCTTGTTGATGTGTTATTCCCCAGATAGCGACAGCTATGGGGTTCTTACTTCAAATAACAATGAGTTGCCAGTGCGCGCTTTCGAGACAAGTTGCTGGTGCTGGGTGCGGTGCTGGTGCTGGTGCTGGGTGCCGGGTGCCGGTGCTGGTATGTGAGCTGGCTGTGCACGCCGTGGAGACAGGTTGCTGGTGCGGTGCTGGTGCTGGGTGCCCGGTGCCGGTGCTGGTGCTGTGAGCTGGCTGTGCACGTGGTGGAGACAGGTTGCTGGTGCGCACAGCCAGCTCACAGCAACAGCACCAGCGCCGGCACGTGCACAGCCAACCCGGCACCCGGGCAACAGAGGAAACCAGTGACGCTGGGACAGCCTAGATTGCCATCACTGAAGGAACCAGAGATTCACTTCGTGACACACATCCCGTACGCCCCATGGTGCCAAGCATGTGTGGCCACAAAGAGGATAAATATGAAACTCAGGACAATAAACCAGACCTCAGAAAGAACGTCATTCAGCTCGACTTCTTCTTCCCCTAGACCGGTGAAGAGACCAGGACGGAGGAAGCACCAATGGATAAAGTGAAAGAATGAGCTGATCAGTATGGTGCATGTCTGGTGATGACCTCCTCAGAAACCAAGGCCATGCACGTGGTTCCTGTCCCATCAAAAGGCACTGCCAGTCTGAAGACGGTGACGGAGGAAATCATCAGATTCTCTATGGAGAACTCTTCAGCAGATTCCAAGAAGATTCAGAGAGGGCTATGAGACAGATTCTGAGGTCAGTGCAGCAGGTGAGGACAGTCATGGGCTTACCCTGTGAAACACGACTGACTGGAAGTGGCCAGCGCGCATCAAATGGACAAGTGGCTGTGCAGACAGCGCGCAAGATGGCAGATTGCCTGAGGTCATTTGCTGAGACCAAAGACCACATTCAGATTGACGGGAGCTTTCACATGTACCCATGGGCATTCAGGCATGCATCATTTCTCATCAACCGCTTCAGGGTGCTGGAGAAGATTGGCCGCGCAAGCTATGAACTGGCGACTGGACATGCATATAATGGGAAGCTTGCGTTGTATGGGGAGACTGTGCTTTTCAAGCGTCTGGTCAAGTACAAAGGCAGTGACACCTTTGAACGTGGCATTTGGGTTGGAAAGAGTTGCTGGAATGATCAACGCGTGATCCACGTGACTGAAGGAGCCTTTGAATCGAGGACAACCAGAAGGTGTGCGCCAGAGGAAAGCTTTCGAGGCGCGGGCATGGTGATAGCCAAAGGTTTACCATGGAGCTATGCTCAGCGATACAGACAACCCACATTGGAGGCTGAGGCGACAGAGGAAGAGCTTGAGGCGATTTCAGAAGCAATCGCCGCAGGAGTGGTGACACCAGCACCAGGTCCACATGGGCAACCAAAGACACCAGCGGCAGCAGCGCCAGGTGCACCGACAACACTGGGCCTATACCGTTGACTCCGAGGACAAAAGAGGCCAGCTGATGAAGGAGCGCAAGATGAACCTGAAGAGAAGAGGCAGGGTAGAACAGAGTCCCCAAGGAAAGGCCATGAGAAAAGGGAAGCTCAAGGTGAAGAGGTCGACGCAGAGAAGAGACAGAAGGTGCAAGCTGCAAGAGGCGGAGAGCAAAGAAGACGCAACCATGGTACCAAGTGCATCAAGGCCAAGGGAAGAAGGACCAGAATTGTCTCCGGCGGCATCCCCGGCAAAAGTGGCAAGGCTGTATCCACCGCATTTTGCAGGAATACAAGCTATTGAAGTGCATGGTGATGAAGAGTTCGAGTAGACCATGGCGCCGGAGGACATGAATGAGGAGCTGCAAGAGGATGGAGGAGATGATGAAGAGCCACCGATTGCATCAGAGGAGAACGTGAGGATGTTAGACCAAGAGGCAAAGAACAATGAGTGGACAGAATGGTGAGCATCCCGGCGATGGAAGAAGTGAAGTTAGAGGAAGTACGAGCAAGTGGAGGATACTTGATCTCCACAAAATTCGTCTACTGCTGGAAGCGCAGGGTTGAACGTGAAGGATGGTTTCGAAGAGCACGCCTGGTCGCGAGGCAGTTCAAGACCAGTGTGGACATGGAACAAGCGTTCGCCCCGACGCCAGTGCTCGTGATCCCAAAGATGCTCATCAACCTCACGCTGAACGTCTCCAGGAACTTCGTGGCCATGACGTCAGACATCAAGGACGCATTTCTGATGGCTGCGCAACCTGAGGATGAGAAGGCCTATGTGGAAGTTGATGGCAAAGCCTACAAGTTGATTAGATGCTTGCCAGGGCAGCGGACAGCAGCATCGCAGTGGTTTCAGCTTTTCACTGGGGCTGCAAAAGAGTCTGGCGTGGAGCAGTATATCATGCAGCCCACACTGCTGATGATTCACAAGGTGATTTACATCACAGTCCATGTGGATGATGTCTTCATGGTCGGAGACGAGAAGGCCATGAAGGAATTTGTCGACTTCCTCAAGATGAAGAAGAAATGGAGCATTGAGGAGAAAGGACGATTCCTGATGGGAGAGAGATTTTCCTACTTGAAGAGGGACTTCACCCTCTACAGGAGTTGGTGTGACATTCGCTGCGACTACAAGCAATATGAGAGCCTTGGAAAGGAGATGGACCTATACAGGAAAACTCATATGGAGCAAAGCTTCAGCAAGAGAGATGAGGGTGAAGAACTCCAAGGAGCTGAAGTGACGAGGTACAGGAGTGTTGTGGGACGGCTGATGTACCTTGCAGGCGAGCGCCCGGATGCACAATTCGCCATTCAAGCCCGCTTCATGTCTCGCCCTACGAAACAAGCTTGGAACAAGGCATGGCGCGTGTGCTCCTATTTGCAGGGCACAGAGGGCTATGGAGTGAGGCTGACAGCAAGGGCCAAAGGGCAGTCAGTGATGAATGTGAAGGACTCCGAGGAAGTGGAGGACAAAGAACAACATCTCCTGGAGGTGGTCACAGATGCAGATTACGCAGGAGACCGCAATGACCGCAGAAGCACCACTTCTTTCCAGGTGTTCATTGACGGCAACCTCATGGAGTCGAGGGTGAGAGCACAAAAGGCGATATCCCTTTCATCAGGCGAATCAGAATTTGTGGCCGTAGTGGCGGGATCCTCAGATGGAATGCTCATCAAGCACCTATGGGAGAAGATCACTGAGGAAAAGTGCGAGATGAAGGTACGATCCGACAGCTTAGCTGCAAGAGCGATGGTCCAACGACAAGGCATCGGTCCAGTTCGACGCCTAGACGCTTCATTGCTCTGGGCTCAACAAAAGGAGAAGGATAAAACCCTGAGCATTGGACCCATTCCAACAGAGCTCAACTGTGTAGATTTGGGCGCAAAAGCTTTGACAAAGAAGCGCATGCTGGGACTCCTCTACATGCTGAAGGTGGCGCAGCATGGTGGAGAGAGAGAGAGAGAGTGAGTTGGAGAAGGGGAGTACAAGGAGCTCGAGCACTGAGAGCAAATGAAGAAGGGATTGAAGAAGGTGATGAAAAGCAAAGACCTTCACATCGGGCTGTTGCTGATGATGGCAACCATGGATCAAGCCGCAGGAAGGAGTACCGGGAACTGCGAGAGTTAGTGATGAGTGCAACAGATATGCCTGCAGAGTATGTAGCCCCCGAGGTTTTGTTTTTCCTATTGTGTTCACCTTGACAGTAAGGTGGCGCCGTACTTGAGGCCGAGGAGGACACTGCAGCGAATCTGACAGAGAGGCGCCCAGATTCGTTACTAAATCATTATTTTGGAAATCATGTTTTTGGGACCAGGATGAAGCGCGCATAAACGTACTGTGCGTGCGCCTCATCCGGGTTGCGCTGTCCTGTCACTGGATGTGAAACTCGATGATGCAGCAATGCAATGCTTGGCTCCAGCTTCGCAAGTCCATAGAAGCGTGGCCTTTGGATGCTGCTGTCATTTAATTTACAGGCCTACGGAGCGAGTGTCGCTGTTGCTTGGAAGTTTGAAAGCTGCGTGTAGCTTACAAGACATTGTGGAGACATCGTCTTTGAAGGTCACTGTGGAAGCAGCATCCCTGAGGAGAATGAGAAGGAAGAAGATCAAGGATGGCAGTGGATGATGTTTTGGCTATACGCCATACTTGGAGCCTTGGGCCTGGCAGAGTGGCTGCGGCGCATGGTGATCAACAAGATGATCTTCATGGCGTGGGGCTACATCGTGCCCAGCTTGGAGACGGCAATTAAGAAGATTGAGAAGTACATGGTTGACGATGAGAAAAAGTGGAGAAGGCAACGCAAGCCTGTTGCTGGGTGGACTTCGAAGTTTTGAGACACTATGAAAAGTCTTTCAGCTTGAGACATACATTGAGGAGCTGGAGGACACGATCAAGGAGGTGCGAGACCCAAGGGACATGGCTTTATAAGAAACCCAAGCCACCTCGAGACACAGCTTAAAGCTGATGAGGCAAAGCCTCAACTACAAGGTGTGCAAGAGTGGAAAAAGAATCCACTATGCCGAAAACTGCCCTTACTTTAGAAGGGCGGAGGCGTTTGAGCTTTGTAGCGTTTGCATGGGTGATGGGGGCGTGACAGATTACACCGCATCGTCAGTCACCCATGCATAACACGCACAAATCGAGCGTACCAAACATTGTATAGGCTCAAGCCTGTGTGCGAAAACGCTTGTTTTTCTTCGCAAAAAACGTATTGGACAATTACCTATCATTTCCTCTATAACTTTCACGACCTTGATTATATGACTATTTATAAAAAGAGACGTGTATGGTGGTTTTCTGACTTTGAAGGGACTTATGTTTTTAGAAACCGTTCATTCAAAGTAAAGGACATCTTGGAATTCTTTTTGCGTGAATACCTCAGAGAACTACTATGAGCACTGCGTCAACGAAACAGAAATAGAAGAGCGCCTACAAAAAAACTATAGACGCTTAAAGAAAAATACCTATAAATAATACGAAACATATGCCTATGATTGGAGTAAACGAAGAATTGAAAGGGATAGGGAGAGATTGTTGAACTTTATAAAGGAACATCCATATCCAGACTATGACTTAGTATCAAAGCAGTTGATACTACAAAAGCGCAAGGACTTAGAACAATACGCAGAGTATGGAGAAATAAACCACGACCTGTTGAAAGAGATTTGTGAAAACATCTTTGATAAAGACATTGTGAAAAGAAACGGTGAGATGATATACAAACGAGGAGGAATGTGAGCACTACAACAAAAATTACTATTCACTATTGTCAGTGTTGGGTCATTTGGTTCAGCAACGAACTATGGATAGAGATACAATCATCTTAGTCTTCTACAACATCAAAACGATTGTATCTGAAGATTGGGATGGAGTAGGTGAATGGAGAGATTAAAACCACAACATAACTATAACTATAGACTATAAGCCCTTACAATCTATAACCATAGCATACTTACAACCTATAAACCCAGACATCGCAAATAACACAACAGCCACCCAAGATAACAAAACAAAAAATGAATAAAATCAATGAACGTAAGAAGATGAAGAAAATGCCAAGAAAAAATGAACAAGGATAGATGAAACAAAATGATGAAAATGTATCAAAATCCACAGAGGGAAAAACATCAACAGCAAGGAACACACATTGAACTTCAACATAAAACCACAACAGGCAACACTAGACCAAAGCTGGCCTAGCATCCCCTTTTTACCATTTTTTCCTGGCGTGTGCAGGTCACCAGCTGCCACCTTCCCCCCCAAGCCACTGGAGGAGAATCACTGTCACTGGAGGAGACCTTAGTACATGGCATGTAGCGTGCTGGTGCTGCAGGGCAGGGTGTTGCTGCTAGATGTTTGTCGCAATGTGCGCTTTGGAGCCTGGGCGCTGGTGCTGCTGCAGGTTGCTGTTGGGCGCCACCAACAAATTTTGCTATTTGGGGCTATGCTAGCGTTTATCGTATTTTGTGGTTGTTTGGAGGCAGGAAAGCGCCGCCGCCAGATCCTTGGGACCGTCCTCGACCTTCCCTGCGACCCTTCTACGAGGTGTCAACTGGGCTGAGAAAATGGCTTCAGCCTTTGGCACATTGCGGAACTCGGTTAGAGTCGGCTTGTTGCGCAAGGTCTTGGGTCTGCCAGATGGCACAAAGAATCATCAGGTCCTCAAAAAGGCATACCGGTGGTGTGCTCAGCTGTCGTTTGCTCTTCTTCAGCTGCGACGTGTGTCAAAAGTGAGGCAAGCGGCCCTGAAATGGCATCCAGACAAAAACCCGAACGATCCTCATGCTGCCAGCAATTTCCAAAAGGCCTGCAACGCGTTTGAGCAGCTTGGCAAGAGCTTGGTGTGTGAATCGTAGCAGTTCTGATGCTTTGTTTCTGGGTCGGTGCAAGTGCCAAGGCAGATTTGCAAGGCGCTTGGGCTTGGCAACCTCTAATCCTGCACCACAGGAAAAGCCGACGCAGGTCGAGGTGCAAAGCTCTTCTGAAGAATCCCGACCAGAAAGGGAGCAATGGCATCTCCATTCTTGATTCAGAGATGTCAAGAAAGGGACAAGTGATTTTTCCTTGGGCTTGCGTGAGACATTTGTTCTTCTTGAGGTTGCATGGTGTTGCCAATCAGTCAAGGGATTAATCAGGCCATGTTGTGTCAACAGAATCCAATCATCAGAACATATCAGAGCACTTCAGGCAAAGTTTGACAAACCGAAACATGAGTGACAAAAGGATTTGAAGGGTGTTGGTAAACATATGTGTACTCTGAGCGACATGATATTGTAGGAACAAAAACATCCAGAAGGTTCAAATTCTTCAATTGAAATCTGACAATGTCTTCATTGATTGGGCGCAATGGGTGCCGAGCTGCTTGGCTTTGGTTGCTACATGCTTCAGGAATTTGGCGCGCACACCGATTTGTTTTAAGGTCCACAGCGCCCCATTGGCCAGGCGCTTCGCAGTTTTTAGTTCTCTTTTGTTTGTTTTCAGCTCTTGGCAGTACAAAGCATTTCCCTGTCAGCTTGCTGCTGCTGTTCCCTTTGGCATCGGCTCAGGACCGTGCAGCATAGAAAACATACTTTTCACATTTTTCCCCAACAGCAGAATGCGTTGGGGTCTTCAGCCATAGTAAAGGCTTCGGAGCAGGCCGGAGCAGCTTCGAAAGACAAGGTTCCCAGGTTCCTGACAAGGTTCCCAGGTTCCCACAAGGTTACCGCCTGGTTCCCAGAAGGTTCCCAAGGTTCCCGCAAGGTTCCCACAAGAAGGTTCCAAGGTTCCCCCAAGGTTCCCAAGC